TTATTATTATTAATTTTAATTTTAATTTTTTTTTTGGCAAAAATAATTTCGTAAAATCAACATTTGATGATCATATAATTTAAAAAGTTCTGAAGGTGATAAAATACCTAAATAAAATGAGAAAAAACCTTGAAGAAACATACGTTTCTTAAACGCCAATGAAATTTAAAATTGGGGTAAATAATATATTAGTCTGGTCCTGTAAGAGCTGTGTATTTATCAACAAACTGTTTTTAGTTGATAAACTATGAACTTATTAATGAGATCAAACAAGGAAAACATATGTTTTAAAAATAAATATGATAAATTGCAAAGTTAACATAAAAAAAATATGTTTTACTGTCTTTTCATCCAAGAGAAAAGTATGAAATAAAAAATAATTTAGAGAAATCACAAAAAATAATGTTACAAACTATGTCTTTATCCAAGTTCCATTATTAACAGATTTTAAAAGTAAATAAATATAAAAATAAATATAATGTACATATATTTATAAACATTTTAAGTGATTAAAAAAATGTGTCAATAGCTGTACACTTACTCAAAGAAATCATAATAGTCCAGGAAAATAAGGAAAAAATGATCGAACTTGTTTACTCTGAGATTTTTTTTATAGAAAAGTATAGGTTTTGAGGTCAGAAAACATATATAATTTTTTGCATTTTTTTACCTAAAACTGCCAATATCCCCAAGAATATGCATTTTTTCAAAAAATCTTATATAGTTTTCCGAGATTTGAATATTTATGAGCATCAAACGTATTATTTTATAGATTTTCTATGGGGTACATTGCGAATTAATTATGTGTTTCTTAATATTTTCCAGAAAAATATGTTTTCTTTGAAATGTTTTTGTGACAACGACGTAGTTTTACAAAGAAACCTAAGTATGAAAGTACATAAAAAATTTTAAAAATAATAAATAAAAGAAGTTGTCTTTTAATTATAAATAAATAAAAATTAAATTATATTGATGTAAATTTTTTATTTATCTTTGCAGCTCCAGAAAATTCCTTTCCAATTGTCATCAAAATATTTTCAAATTCATTAAATTACAAATTTCGAAGAAAAATATTAAAAACTGTATAATTAATGTATGTATGTATTGTAATGAACACTCTCGAAAACCTATACAATGATACGTTTGATGCTCATAAATATCCAAACCTAGGAAAACTATATAAGATTTTACAAGGATTTTCCGCAATTTTTTATTCTCTAATTTACTTTTGTTATTTAAAAATGAATTGTCCATTATTTTGGCTCCAAAAATGTACGGCAAAACTAATGGGAAAATCGAAATTTTCATAGGAACAATTTTGTAGGAAATCTAAAATTTATTGAAGATAATATTTTCGAGAAAAAACGTCTGAATCTGCTTCGGGTTGAGGCAGTACATTATTGGCTGTAATGAAGGCTTGCAAAAAATATAATAAAATTTCCAGGGTCGTATTTAAAAAAATGAAGTTGATGATGGTCCTGGAGAGACGAAACGTTACATATAAAAATTGATTATGCCATTCGATAGAGGGCAAAAAGTTGCCATGGGAAAGTGTTCTTCTTTTTTCAATATCACATCGAACAAGGCTGAAATTAAATAAAAGCGGATTTCCAAAATTTCTTTTTTTTTCAAATATTTCGAAAATAATAATGTTAGCCTTGTTTTTTTAGAGACATAATGTTGGTCCCCTGATTATACAACTTTGTCCCCATTTAAGCTAGTTCGTATCTCTTTCTGTTTCCAAGATCTCCGTAGTAAGAAGCGAATTTGTAACAGCCTATATATTTCTGTATCTCAAAACGTTGTCTGTTGCTGGTGGTTGCGTGCGACATATGTATTTCTTACCTCAAAACCTACACACTTCTATAAAAAAAATCTTAGTAAAAAAGTTCATTTATTAAAGTAGATTGATTTAGCATTTTATCAATCAAGCAGTTTTAACACAAGCACTGATCATTTTAACTCAAATCAAACAAATGTAATTTGATTGTGATTTGTTTCATTTGTTTAATAGAATTATTCACTAATCACTGTACGCAGTAGCAATATTTCTTTAATTCTCTATTCGTTACGCAGTTGCTACTTGAAAAATACTGGTCGAGTCTACTTATCGACCCCGAAATTGAAAAGTTTAAATCACTGATATCACCCTTGTAATTAATAGTGGTCTCAAATACTGCTTCAGGCATCGTTCTAAATTTCAGAAGCAGGTAAGTGTCGCTGGTACGCGAAAACCCCCTTGAAACACTTGTAGTGACGTTGTTGACCAAATATCTCGCACACATCCAACCTTCATCGTGGGATTCTATTATTTTATAAATTTCATTTAGAACATAAGCAGTAACCTTATTTTGTACGTCTTTATCTAGTTCGACGTGAGTATATTTAGAGCAGGTACACCAATGCTGCAATATTCCAGCTTCTCCGCACGATCTTTCCACATCAATTTCTTCAAGTAGAGACTTGCAAGACGGGCAACTAGGACTTTGGATGATGGTATAATCGTGTCCTGACAGGACCAAGAAGTGTTGCAAAGTCATATGTAAGTCGTAAGGTGAGGTTAATCTAGCTGAGTTTATTTTAAAATTCTTGTATTCGTTTGGGAATTTCTTCTTGAACCAAGAAGGAAAGGAAGCGTATATAAAGGGAAGTCTTTCTTCGAACCACCCTGTTTCCGTCAGTCTTATTCCTCCAAATCTTATCCCGTGAGCGCTGAAAAATATAACTACACTGTGTTCGAGAACTTGTTCCTTGCTGAGCTCCTCCAAAAAGTCTTTGATCTTGTTATCCATTCCGGTTACGGCGTTGAGTTGATTGTGACTGAATGTGTTCATCCAAAACAAGCCAAAATGTGGATGATCTTTAAAAGTGATACCAAAATCTTTTGTTAGGTTCATAATCCTCTCTCCTGAGGTTTCAGGTCCGCTACAGTATGTCAGTCCTTGCCTTTTCCTCGTCCTTAGTTTCTCACTGGCCAACATGTAAGGACGAAAGTAGAAATCTGTTGGAGGGTATTTGAAACCTTTGTTTTTGTAGTTGAAAGTGCTCATCGAACATTCGTCTTCCGCGTAGCTCGTAACATAACCTAGTTCTTTATAATCGTTCCATAGTAGTGGACAGAGGTCGAACGTTTCTAATTCTTCAGGATTGCAGATTTCGTTTATGTCACTACTGTTATGTCCAGTTAAAATAGTTATCAAATTTGGAAAGATATTATCGTCTACTTTGTTGTACCCTTTCAAAGAAACCCATCCATTCTTTTCCACGTATTTGTATGTGTTTGGGAGGGCTCTGATGAAATTCAGTCGAGATAAACTGTCGATTCCTACAAGAAGCACACTAATTTGTTTATTTGGGGCTGGTTTGGCTAATTTCCTTTTGATATTCCAATTTGCGAAGTATGTGGCATGAATATTTTCATAAACTATGTCTGCTTCTTCTCTGCTAAAACATCTCACGTAGATAGTGTCGTGGTATATTGGTACACTGCTTTCAAACATTTTGCATTCCGTCATCCTGAAAAAAATCGAAACGTAAATATATTATCCTAATACAATTGTTAATTTTTTCTCGTTGATAAATGAACCATTTAGAACACAGTCCCACAAAAAAAGAACAGTGGTTTGTTCCAAAGATTAGATCCATGTATCCCTATCTGGTGCTAGAATTGCTCAATTACCATCTATTTTTTTTAAAATCGCGAAGACCAACTTTATCCTTCATCCCTGTTTCTTATTTCTATGGTATATTAGAGACAGAAAGAATCTAACGAACATAAAGTATCTCCAAAGAGAACAGATTTTCATCTAGGGTTGAAAAACATCATCCGCGAACCCTTAATCAAATAGAGCGTCGGTATCAAGGAAATTGAGATATTAATATGATGGCAGAATACCTACATAGCGATAAAATAAGTCTGAAATCAGTGCGATAGAGAAAGATGGCTATAATGAAGGCGTCTAATAGTCACCGCCCATTTCGCTCTTCCACAAATAAGAAGTGGATCTTATTTGTGGAAGGGCGAAATGGGCGGTGACTATTAGACGCTCTCATTATAGCCATCTTTCTCTATCGCACGGATTTCTATGACTTTCTTTATCGCTCTCACGTAACGGCTGATGAACCATGGGGACTTTCCGACCCTGTATAAACATGATCCTGGCAGTTATTTTTAGTCAGTTTCTACAATTTTACCTAATGTTGACTCCTCCAAAGCGAGATTCAGAGTCAGCGGTCAGCGCGTCGTAATACATAAGGACACATGGGTCGAATCTTTGGAACAGACCACTTTTCTTTTTTGTGAGACTGTAGAATCAATTAAAAAGAGTTTACTTACGTTACGGTATTATCCGTTTCGTCCATGGAATTTTTCCTGGTCACATTAGAATAACAACAAATGACGCCGCGTGATTCGTAAGACGTTACTGCCCCATCATCAACATGGAGAGTAACAATGTTGTCTACATTTGTTACATAAGTAAGCAATGGGGCCTCCGAGCAAGGTTCATAGTTTTCTGGTTGGTAGAATTTCATGGCGTCTTCGTTGAAGGCGTTTAAATTTTTTATTTGACATTTTGTGCTATTCACAAGGTAGATGGGTTCTGAAATGAAAATGTTTATTTGTTCTCGATAATTTATTACCAAAAATTAACCAAGTACTTTTTTTTTAATTTAATAGTACGTTTAAATTTAAAAGTGAAGTTATTGAATACAAATTATTTTACCTACCAAATTTTTTTCCCAGGAATTGACTTAGGTTTGCAATAGATCCCAGCTTGTAATTGGTACAGTATATGATAATCCAAATTAGGCCCCATGAAAGGAACATCAGCAGTATTGTGATTTTGAGGAGTCGTCTACTAACGCTGAAAAATTTATAACTGTATGTATTCTATTTCCTCAATAGTTTTAAATGCGTACATCGGTTTGATAGATGAAGCACAAACCAATTGAAGTTTCTCCACTTTTAATACAGGTTAAATGATTACTTAGCTTTGTGTTTTGTTTTAACATTAGCTGTTTGAGAATTTATATAAAGTAATGAAATTGAAACAGAAGAAAATAAGTGATAACTAAAGGGTGTTACGAAATATGGTTACGCAAGATGTAATTTTGATAGCAAAAAAGCGAATTAAAAATTGTAAATTTTTTATTGACTCATAAAGTATAGAGTATAGAGTAATGTATGGAATAGTATATCAATTTTCCAAAATCGTTTTACATAAATGCTGCTGAATTTCATTCTCAGCATTCAACTTGCTCCTTCAAGACGTGGGTGGTCATGGATTTGTTGGTATAAATGTTAGACTTCAAAAAAACCCAAAGAAAAAGTCCAAGAGTGTTTAATTTTTCAGTTAATCTCTTCAGATAAATCACTATTCCGACCATATTTTGTACGAAAATTGTAGCTACCAAACCTTCATTATTTTAAAAATATTACTGAACAATGAAAATGCGTTGTTTTTTTTGTATTGCTCCGTTTTTAATAATCCTGAACTGTCAGCTATCATACTGTCTTTTTTTGTCATTGGTAACACTTTTCCGCACAAATGGCGCAAAATTCAAATCGTGCGTAAATTTTGGAACACTATTATATATTTCTTTGCTTACCTGCATCTTCTTCGCCAAATTCTATAGATAGAAGTATACATTTTAACATTTTAGTGAGCATCAGGTAACGTTGAAACTGTAAACATGTGTGATTTATTTATTTTGATAATATTTTATCTAAAAGTATGTTTGATAATTCTATAATCTGAAGTATTCCTTAATCTGTTCGTCAACATGAAATGGGATATTCTTAACAGTGAATTGAGATTTCTATTAAGTTACTAAATATATACTCGTGGATAACTTATCCAGTGCCATTTAGTAGGTATGTTTAGATCAATACAGGGTGTCCCGAAATTAGGCGGCAATATTTCTACAGGGTGTTCTGTGTCTGAAACGAAATTTACAAATTTTCATCACATATGTTCTAACAGTGTGGGGGGGGGAGTGGGTAAAATATACCATAAGTTTTTTATGCTTTGACTTTTTTACTTTTGACGGAAAAGTATGAAATTTCAGAGTTTTTTAGTAAAAAAAGATACTCTTGATCCATATTAGTGGAATGTTCCATTTTTGTGTAAAATCCGTTTAAAAATAATGCTACATGTGTTAATACCGGGAATCGAAATTGTCAATATTTTCTATCGTAGCGGGTTGTGAAAAAAACGCGATTGTTGTCATTTGCATTGACAGTTCAGTTATTTACTTTTTGCGAATTGTTATTTTAACAGAATTTTTTTTTGTAAATTATTATTTGACAAAGTAAAAAAGAAACCATTGAAATTATTAAATAGTAATACAATAAACTAACAAAAATAATTGAAAACCACACTATTAATAAAACTTACCTTTATCTCAATAGGAATTTTTATAGCAAATGCTCAAAAAGATTTCCAATTTGCTGAATACATTTTCCAGCTCGACATCCAATTGCCCGCGAAGACCTCAAAATTTCAAAATTACTTTGTCTGATTTGATTCGCAGCCAAATGAATCCTCCGTTGTAATTCATCCAAAGGATTTATTTCTGTAGCATAAACTACAGCCTTCATCCTACCCCACAGAAAGTAACCTAGAGGATTTAGGTCTAGAGATCGAGGTGGCCATGGAATAGAGCCACCTCTACCTATCCACCTACCAGGAAAATTATCGTTTAACCAATTTATGACATTGGGTAAAGTGATGTGGTGCCCCATCTTGTTGATAGTGTAACGTTAAGCGTACGTTTAACGGTGTATCATCCAATATATCTCTGATATCATTTTGCAGAAAGTTTAAGTAGCCTTCTGCATTCAGACATACGGGAAACTGAATTGGTCCAAGTAGCTGGTCCCCTAAAATTCCTATTCACACATTTATTGCAAATCTATTTTGAAAATTTGTGAGCCGTATTGCCCGTGGAATTTCGTCTGACCAGAAATGGATACTATGAATATCTGCTAGCTCTACATTCGTAAAATGTTGCATTTTCGACTAATAACTATAGTATTATGGCGGCTGCGCATACGTTCCTTGTTTTTGGTAGTTATTGATATAAGATCATCAATGTCAAACGTAAATGTCAAAATAGTTTTGCAAAATATTCTTAAATACAGAGTGATTAATTAACAATGGGAAAATCGAAAGCTGAAGATACTACACGTGAAACGGTGACCATTGGCGCAAACATGCCTTATCTGAAAGTTGATAGTCTCGGAAATACAGGGTGTTGAAAATTAAAATTTTAAATCGTTTTTTTGCGATTGTTCTGAAAATATGTAGGTTAGGTAACTTGAAAATTTATGAAATTATATTTTTTTAGGCGACGAATAAGATGAAGATTTCAGCATTGCTCATTGCGCCACTTACGACCAATTTTACCGAAAATTCAGTTAATAACTTTTTACCCTGTATGTCTAACAAGGAACTTGATTCAAAACCTGAAAAGACAATAATTTTTCCATTAATTGTGTATTCTTGTTTCATTTCGGTATCTCGATCCGTTTTCGAGAAAAATCGATTTAACGAACACTATGTTTTGATAATACGAAAAATTAAAAGCGAAACAAACCAAGTGTTTCTTCGTGTTAATACAACAATTAACAACAAAACAAATAAAATTCGTAATTATGATTTAAAGTCAGTGTTCGAAGAATACACCGTTGACATTTACACACTTTACACAACGTTTTCTGAGAGATCTTCGAGTTTGAAACAACACATTGGGATTGCGTTTGACTTCGTTGGCAGCGATTTGTATTCTTTGCCACAACTCTTCACACGAACCAATAGATTCTTCCAAATAGAAAAATGAAGAGGATTGCAGTCGGAACTTCTGGGTGGCCAAGTAAAAATGCTTCCACGGCTTGAAGAAGTTCCACTTTATTTAAGAAGAGACATGTGGTTCATGCACGACGGAGCTCCACCGCATTTTTCTTGGCCAGTGCGTACATATTTAGATGCAGTTTTTCCAAATCGCTGGATTGACTATGTAAGCATTTTTGCTTGTCCATCCAGAAGTCCGGACTTCAATCCTATTGATTTTTTTATTTGGTCTCGAATGAAAGATATAGTTTACAAAGAATCTACTGGCTCGTGTGAAGAGTTGTGGCAAAGAATACAAATCGCTGCCAACGAAGTCAGACGCAATCCCAATATGTTGTTTCAAACTCGAAGATCTCTCAGAAAACGTGTAAAATGTATCAGTGTCAACGGTGGATTCTTGGAACACTTATTTTAAGTCATTATTACGTATTTTATTTGTTTTATTGTTAATTGTTGTAATAACACGAAGAAACACTTGGTTTGTTTCGCTTTTAATTTCTCGTATTATCAAAACATAGTGTTCGTTAAATCGATTTTTCTCGAAAACGGATCGAGATACCGAAATGAAACAAGAATACACAATTAATGGAAAAATACAGGGTAAAAAATTATTAACTTAATTTTCGGTAAAATTGGTCGTAAGTGGCGCCCTCTATGAGCAATGCTGAAATTACAACACGCATCTTATTCGTCGTCTAAAAAAATTTAGTTTCACAAATTTTCAAGTTCCTAACCTACATATTTTCAGAATAATCGCAAAAAAACGATTTGAAATTTTAACCTTCAACACCATGTAGCTATTTCCGAAATTATCAACTTTCGGATGTTTGCGCCAATGGTCACCATTTCACGTATAGTATCTTCAGCTTTCGACTTTCCCATTGTTAATGAATCATCCTGTATATGTTAATATTGGAAACACCGTTTATATGAATTATAATTAGTACTTAACAAGTTGTGAGATGCACGAGGCCATCACAGTGGCGACGAGGAAATTTTGTAAATTTCGTTTTAGTAGCGGACTGAGCACGCAAGAGTTAAGCTAGTTACCAAATTCCAAAAATTTATCTCAATTGGATTCGGAATTATTTAGAAAAAAACATGATCAGAGTGGCCCCTTTAAGTGGCTATAACTTCCCTAGGAAGAATTTTTGGACCCACCTTTATATAAAGATAAAGTAATCTCTTTCGACATAGAACACCCTATAGAAATACTGCTCCCTGATTTCGGGACACCCTGTATATGTTTAATCTTTGTTATAAGACAGGATGTTCCTCGTTGGAATCACGTCGTTAGGATATCGTTTAACCTTAGAATAATAGCCTCTTATTTATTATTGTAATATTTGAACTGATAAAAGATAGTACCAATATGGTGATATTTTTATCTTCCATATACAGTGTGGCCCATTAAAATTGGGATACATCCTTAAAAAGTTTGTTGGACTAAACATTCGAATGATTTTCTTTGTATACGTAGTAAACATCAATCACTTTAAACGATTTTTTATTAAAAAGTCTGCCTACTCAGCCCCAATCAACGTCAATTAAAACCAATATCTTGCCGAACAGTTTTTTTTATACAGACTTATATTTCAATTGTATTATTTTTATTTCAGTTTAAAAATCTAGAAGGTGTAGTCCTTCCGAAGTCAGTTGAATATGCAAAAAAACTTCTGGTAATAAAATTTAATGAGTTTCATAGGCGTAAAAGGTAAAAATTTATAATAATTTGTACCTATATAATGTGCAGAAAATTTCTATTATATGTTCATTTAGTCAACAACATATTTTAATTATTTATGTCCTCAAACAATTTTATTATATTGGTGGTAAATTTCGTTTTGTTCCGTTTCAAAAGGCCTCCAAAATGCCATGTTGTGATAATATTAGTAAACAAAATATCCCTCTTATTTCTCCCTTTAGCAATTGTAATATGAATGATTGATAGAAGGTGCCTATAATAAATTAAAATTGCCTGATTCACACCAAATTCCGCACTGCTGCACTGCACTGCTAGGCAATTTATGAATCACTTGTCACCTGCTGTGATTTATTGCCCAGAAGCCCAATACAACTGTGCTCGTTTTCCTTTGGCCGCGCTCGCATTCTTCAACTGAGCGTATACATTTCTATCATCTCCACGTTTAGTTCGATCACACCTGTTTATGGGTATGGCTAATTAAATATGGGAACAAGTTTTTCAAATATTTCAATGCCCAGTTGCTGCTTAGCGACCGAGCCTGGTACATACCTTGAAATTATTGGTTCATCATTTGACTTCGGAAAAATATATGGAATGCCTGAAGGTAGAGAGAAAAAATACGTATAAAAACTTCATAAACAAAATGCTATACATAAGACATTTATTTCTTTACATAAACTTACATTATAAATATTAATATTTTTACGGTAAATAAATAATCTATCTATAAAATACAATTAAACGTTCTTTGAGCATTACAAACATCTAACTAATGTAATATCTATGAAATAAGTACTAAACTATATAATACGAAATGTATGTTTTCTTTTATAATAAAAACAATTTACAAAGTTTTTGGCATTGTACATTTTATAAAAAAAAATTAAAAAGTAACTATAAGCCTCGGCTGTTCGCTACAGGACACCCTGAAAAGTGAAAGAGATATTTTAGAGGTACACAAAAAAGCACAGTTCAAGACAACAGTCAAGTTTGTTTGTAGGGGAAATTCTATTATACAGGGTGTTTCAGAATTAAGTCGACAAACTTTAAGGAGATATTTCTCATAAAAAAATAAGAAAAAAATCAAGTATAAATTTTTTTCCAGAGACGCTTCATTTTCGAAATGTAGAGCGTTAAAGATTTTAAAAAAAATTCGAAATTTTTAAATAACTTCTAAATGAAGAAGGATATTTAAGCCAAATTTGGCATGACACATCTTCTTATAAGATACCATTTTTCCATAGAAGTAGAAGTCCCGCAAGCAACCAGTGGCGGAGTTATGGGGACACAGACTCATTAAATTATGAAAAAAATTAATCCGGCCCTACTGAACATAAAAAATGATGCTGTTTTTAGATAGAACTGACAAAAAGTGTACATTCACTTTTTTCCTAACTCTTATAGTTTCATGGCAAAATTGATTTTTCGGAAGGGTGCTTCTTTAGGAAGACGTTCCTTATAAAACCTAAAAAAATATAGTGCCTATTAAAATTGGTCTTAGTCTCGTGTATATGTAAGTCAAATAAGCCTTTTTGTCTCCCCTTCCCTTGGGTTTAACCAATAGTATTAAAATTATTTAGGAGATGCTCTTCGTTTTTGAGATATAGGGTGTTTTTTTTAGAAAAAAAAATTATAAAAACAATAGAAATATTTAAGTACCTAACATCTAATGTGACTATGTCATAATGCGACAACGTAACGACCCTTGCAATACTCCTAAATTTTTTCAGGCGGTTTGTAGTCACTTCATTTCGAGGGGCGATCCGCTAAGGAAAAAACGTACGAAGATTACAAAATTTCTGAAATCTCTTGTGATGTATCTGCAGATTTCAATATCAATTAAAAAAAGATTACAAATTTCAAATAAAAAATCAAGATTACAATATCTTTCAACAGATTACAAAACATTTCAGGAGATTTCAAAGTTATTTTAGTAAATTTCAATGATTATTTAAGATTTCAATAGGATTATTAGAAATTAAAAGAAGATTTCAAAATTTCTTAATAAGGTTTCAAGGAATACGGGAAGATTACAATAAGTTTTGAATGTCCATTTGCATAAAAATAATTGAATTAACTTCAACTGTCATTCATTTCATTCATTAACAGTAGTACTACAAAAATTGTAACATTCTGATTAAGTTTTTGTTCGAATGAACGTTAAAAACTTTTTGTCATGACAAAAATGATAACGCCATTTTGAAAGTAGGTAAGTATATATTTTTATTGAAAGATAAAAATATAATAATCCAATAAACTAATAAAAATAAAAAAAAAATAAGTAACATAAAATAAACATTTTCCCAAAAAATAAATAATAAGAAATATTTTAAGCTTTTATTAACACTTGTATTTAATACTTTACCTGTATACAGTGTATTTAAAAAAGACGCGGCAATATTTAAGGGGGCGATTGCCCAGATCATTTTATAAAAAAAAGTTCCTATAAACATACGTCCGCAAACGCTTCGTTACCGATCTACAGAATGTTGAAATTTCATTAAAAAAACAGTAAAAATTAAATTTCTCCAAAACCTCTTGATATTATAATGAAATTTTAGGCCTGTCAATAGCTATGGCAGACGCGTACTTTGCAATACAAAACGATTTTTTAGTCTTACCAGTGACTAGCTATTTTTAATGAAAAAAATAGGACCCCGCTGGTTTTTCTAAAAATATAATTTTTTAATTCCTTGTTCAATTATGAAGAAGAAAGCTTTCCTCAGATTATACGCACCGTACGTCACACCGTTATTGAGTAAAAAAATAAAAAACATTTTATTGCGCACCTAAACCCAATGTTGTTTTAATTGAGAAATTTAAATTATTGAACAAAGAAATTCAAATTATCAAATTTGATTGATTTTTGAAATGTGGTACATACTGTTGTTTGTAGTAGGTAATAATAAGGGGCTGCGTTTTAGAGAAATTTAATTTTTACTGTTTTTTAATGAAATTTCACATTCTGTAGATCGGTAACGAAGCGTTTGCGGACCTATGTTTATAGGACCCTTTTTTATAAAATGACCTAGGCAATCACTCCCTTAAATATTGCCGCGTCTTTTTTAAACACGCTGTATACAAGTAAACTATTAAATGCAAGTATTAATAAAAGCTTAATATATTTTTTATTTAGTTTTTGGGAAAATATTTACCTACTTTCAAAATAGCATTATAATTTTTGTCATGATAAAAAGTTTTTAACGTTCATTCCAACAAAAGCTTAATCAGAATGTTACAATTTTTGCCCAAAAAATGCCTGATACTGGAAATTCTTAATCAAAGTACTATTGTTAATGAATGAAATGAATGACATTTGAAGTTAATTCAATTATTTTTGTTCAAATGGACATTCAAAACTTAAGAAATTTTGAAATCTTCTTTTAATTTCTAATAATCCTATTGAAATCTTAAATAATCATTGAAATCTACTAAAATAACTCTGAAATCTCCTGAAATGTTTTGTAATCTGTTGAAAGATATTGTTGTTGTAATTTACTGTAATCTTTTTTGAACTGATATTAAAATCTGCAGATACATTACAAGTGATTTCAGAAATTTTGTAATCTTCGTATATTTTTTCCTTAGAGGACTGCCCTTCGGAACACACCAATCACACTATATAGGTTTCTGTGGCATCCTTTGGAAATTGAGGTAGGGGGGCATTGTATAACGACTACATCGACGAAATTCATTAGCTGATTACATAGATTACAGCGAGGATTACAGATAAGATTACGTAGATTACAGAGAGATTACATAGATTACAGATACGATTACGTAGATTACAGATAAAATTTCATAGATTTCAATTTCAAAGAGATTCTTACATGATTACAAAATTTCAAAAAGATAAATATTAAAACGTCTTAATTACACGGAGATTGCAAAGATTTCAGAAACGATTACATAAGATTCCAGGGCAAACGTACGAAGATTACATCAGCGGATCGCCCCTCGCTTCATTTACTTGTGTTGTGTACTTTTAAATAAAATAAGATGGCAAACAATACATGAAAATTTCTTTCTAAATTGAAACAACCAAAAAATTACCAATTAATATTATACCAACACAAAGCGAAAAGTGAATCAAAAATGAAATGATTAAAAAAATATTTTGTTCAAAATGGGCGCCTCCGGACTGTAGACATCTTCTAATTATGGCGGTAGTGGCCGATCGACACTGAATTGAAGTTAATTCTCGACACGCTTGGACTATTCGCTGTCTTAGATCTTCTAGGGTATCAACTGGCACCTCGTAGACTTTTTATTTAACAGCACTCCAAACGAAATAATCCATCGGTGTCAAGTCCGGTGAACGTGCGGGCTACGCTGCAGGTCCTACACGACCAATCCATCTGCTGGGATAATTAATGTTTAACCACTCCCTAGGACCTCTACCAAAATGGGCAGGACAACCATCTAGTTGAAATCAACTGTTCATTCAAGTATTAGGCGGAACATCTTCTAACAGATCTTGAAAACCATTTTCAAGGAACTCGGTAAACATGTCAGCATTTAACCGATGCGGAAGGAAGTGGGGACCAACTATGGTGTTGTCCAACACACCCAACCATACGTTACATTGGAATTCATTCTGAAAATATGTTCCCTTACCGCCCGTGGATTCTCGTGGACCAAATATGGCTGTTCCTTTGGTTTAAAATTCCCCTTCGAGTAAATGTTGCCTCATCTGTTCACATTACTTTTTGCGTAAAACTGGTCATCATTCTCTTGGTTTAAAATCCAGTCACAAAACACGCGCCTGCATCGTATGTTCTGAGGCAATAAATGTTGCACACGCTGGATATGGTAGCATGGCGTCCACCAGCCCGAAGAGACCTCCAAATGGAACTTGACGAAATACCCAGCTCATAGCTAGATTTTCGGACACTCGTGGATGGATTTTCATCGAAATGGTTTAAAATAATATTCGATCTTACTTCGTCCTGAAGTGAGGCAAAATGTCCATCAGCATAAGTTGGAATACCGAAAGATCCAGTTTGAATGTCGTTGGAAATGTTTCCTTTGCTGGTAGCCTACGGTGAGGAAATCTTACTGCATATTTACGGCGAACCGCCGTGGCATTTCCATCACAAAAACCATATAACGAGCGTTCAAATAAAAACGTGGTCGAAGTTGGCTCTAACACATTGGACGTAGGGAGTAGCTTATAGCGACCAACATAACCTCATTTCTCAACGAGCTGTATTGCAGCTGTCAGTTTCAATAACGTTAATGACTATATAACTTTATTTTAAAGGATAATCGTGATAACAATAACAAACAATTAAAGGAGCTGCGGAAAGTGTCCCCCTCCTTGTTATAACATAAATTAAAGCAGCTGCTGAAAGTGTCCCCCTCCTTGTTCCAAGCACTTTTCACACCTGTTCCTCAAAGAATTAAAGACATTTTCTAAGATGCTCGGGGTATTGTTAATTTCACGAATCTTGTCTATAAGTCGAGCCTGCAGATGGTTTAAATCAGGAATAGGCAGTTCAAAAATAGTGTTTTTAAGGTAAGGCCACAAAAAGAAATCACACGGCGTAATATCACATGACCTCGGTGGAAATTCATGTTCAGCATTGAAACTTATTAGTCGATTTTGGAAAACTTCCCTGAACATATTCATCGTCTCGCCTGCCGTATGTGCCCTTGCGCCATCTTGTTGAAAGTAAAAGTTTGTAATTTCGTTTTCTTCCAGCTGGTTAACAAAAGAAGCGATAATTTCTTCTCTATACCTTTGCGCAGTAAGAGTACCATTAAAAAAAATAGGTCCATAAATCCTCCTTCGATTGAGAGCACACCAAACTCCAATTTTTTGAGCGTGTAGAGGGCCCTCGACAAAAAAGTTATCTGGTTTTTCAGAAGACCGCATTCTCATATTCTGTGAGTTTACGTAACCACTTAAATGAAACCAGGCTTCATCAGAAAAAAAGGTGATATTATGAAGTTCACCGTAGTTGTTTAAAAACCATTCACAAAATACAGCCCGTCGCGGAAAATCAACTTCATGAAGTTCTTGCTGACAAGTTAAACGATAGGAGAACAATCGCAAATCTTTTTTTAACACTGTGTGGCAGGTACCGACTGATACTCCCAACTTTTGTGATAAAACACGTACAGAAGTTGTTGGCGCATTTTCCATTATTTGTTGGACATTTTCTTTTAATTCTTCAGTCCGCTTTTTAGGTCGGCCGCTTCCTTCTTTTCTTGTTACACTGCCCGTTTCACGAAAAACATTAACACAACGCTGAACTGCACTTTGAAAAATTTTGCACTCAACAACGCCGGGAAATTGATTTTGAAATTCTATAAAACATTCCTCAATAGAATACTTCCATATTCCATCAATCTTGCGTCCATTTCTAAAGTAGGACTCTATGATAAACACTTTTTGTTCTTGAGAAAACACCATTTTAAACGCTTTTTAAAACGAAAATATTCAAATTGATAGCGGCGATATAGCGCTTTGACAGATGACGTTTAAGTTCATTTGCTATACGCTACGCCCTACGTCCAAATTTTCAGAACCAACTTGACCACGTTTTTATTTGAACGCTCGTTATAAAGACCATATCAGCATATTCATTGTTCGAAAATATGGACGGCATAATTAAACTTGTTTTTATTATTAGTTTGAACGCTTTATCTAATGGATAATTTATGCAACAATTCGCAAAATAAAATTTAAAACGTCAAATTAACATTGCTTGACAGCAGCCTACTCGAAAATTTTTGTTGAGGTTCATTTTAAAGTTTATCTACAGAATCCAGAAGCACCCTTCCGAAAAATCAATTTTGCCATGAAACTATAAGAGTTAGGAAAAAAAGTGAATGTACACTTTTTGTCAATAACACACTGTTTTATCTAAAAACAGCATCATTTTTTATTTTCAGTAGATCCGTATTCATTTTTTTTATAATTTAATGAGTCTGGGTGCCCATAACTCCGCCACTGGTTGCTTGCGGGACTTCTACTTCTATGGGAAAATGGTATCTTATAAGAAGATGTGTCATGCCAAATTTGGCTTAAATAGCCTTCTTCATTTAGAAGTTATTTAAAAAAATTCGAATTTTTAAAAAAATAAATCTTTAACGCCCTATATTTCGAAAATGAAGCGTCTCTGGAAAAAAAATTATCCTTGATATTTTTCTTATTTTTCTATGAGGAATATCCTTAAAATTTGTCGACTTAATCCTGAAATACCCTGGACAGGGTGGTTTATTAGTGGGTAAAGTGCAATATTGTTGATGAAGTCGGTCTTTGTATAAGCGAGAAGCAGCGGCCGGATTTTGACGACACTCCCCTCTCTTCAGTTTCATAAATTTGTGAGAAGGCAAAAAAAAACAAAAACGTCAACAACAAAGAAAACATAGGTGTACGCACTGGACAGAGACTTATCAGTTCCGAATTATGTTTATTATTATTAAATTTTATTTTCTTCTCGCTTATTCTTCGGAACTTCCAAAAAAGTCCTACGAAAAAGTTGCCTATTTCAATAAGTTGAACTGGTACTTACTGCAAACTGAACAACGACTCTCATCCGTGCCATCCCCGCACCCATCTCTACCGGAACAAGCTATGGCGCTGGATCTGCACCTTCCGTTTCCGCATCTGAGTGGACAGTACTCCGTCCTCCTCCTCCTCGCCCTTCCTTTGCACACGTGGGCCGGCTCGTCGCTTCCGTCACTGCACCCGATGATGGCGTTGCAGAATTCGTACTCGGGAAGGCATTTGCCGTCGCCGCACTGGAATGTATCCGGTGGACACCCTCTTTTTCCTAGAGCCTGGCAATCCGCTTCGTCCTCGCCGAAGGGACAGTCTTTAGATCCGTCGCAGCGGCTTGCTCTGGAGATGCATCTTCCGGAAGATTTACAGCTGAAAGAAGAAGATGAAATCTAACCTGGGTATTGAACTAAAAGATGGGTCAGCTAACCAAAACTGGCCCCAGCAGCGCGAAATTCAGAAAAATCGATGTAATTTCAAAGGTAGAAGTTTTAAACACCGCTGAAATAATAATAAATAATAAAATAACAATGATATGTACATTATTGGAAACTAGGATGCTCAACTTAGGTATTGTTAGTATTTATATTGCCAAAAGGTGTCGATTTGATATTCAAAATGATTATTAAAAATGGTGGTTTATTAGGAATTTTAAGGTACACTTATGCAATTAATTTGTCACATTTAAAATAAAAAATAAGGAAAACGAATACAATCCTCATAGTAATGAACCCGTTTTATTCACTAAAAGTAACAATTACAACATAAATCTAAATCGGCTACGATATTTAGAGTGTGATATCCTAATCCTTCAACCTTTCAAAAAAATTTTATTTTTTGCTTTCTTTAAAATAGTTTATTAACGATTTTCTGCATAAAATTTTCCTTTTACATTTTTTAAATAAGCCATCTCGATGAGAAATACAATCCTCTACAAAATTTTTCCTATGAACTATACCGAAATTTTGCTTCGTTTTCGTGCTATATTTAAAAAACTGCAAAAGTGCTTTTCCACCCCCATCTTCAGTTTCAACCCTCTAATTTAATAGCACCCCGCGGTTTTTTCATTTTTAATGACCCTTTGAACAAGTCATGTGATGGAAATCCTTGATCGTCTTATTTCCTTCCTTTTTTGCAAGAAATGAGAATTAAAACGCGACAAAAATAGAAAAATTGGCTAAGTTTGAGTGGCCATATATCAGTCAATTTTTATCCAAAAATACATTACAACCTCTTGTTTTGAAGGAAATTTTATTTACTTTTATTCTATGAAGTAAAGCCTATACCTATCTTTACTCAAAAAAAAAACAAGAGACAAAAAAGTAAAAAAAACAGAAAATCGAATTATTTGCTTTTTTCAAATTATTTAACAATTTTTTTGCATAAAATTTTCCTTTTAATTTTTTTAAATAAGCTATTTCGACAGGAAATTCAATTCTCTAAATAATTTTCCCTACGAACTATAGCGAAATTTTGCTTCGTTTTCGAGCTACAATTAAAAAACTGAAAGGGGTGCATTTTCACCCCTATCTCCAATTTTCACCCTCTAATTTAATAGCACTTCGCAGTTTTTTCATCTAAAATGACCATTTGAACGAGCTGAGTGCGAAGATATTGTTATTTTTAGATTTGTTAATCTCTTGCACTTAATTCTACGATATAATATAGCAACTATTCAGGTCTGATTTTTACTTATTTGTACTCACAGAATATATGATGCCGTGTTGGTACATGCATTTCAGAAAGACGTTGTATACGTAGTGGCAAGATTTTTTATTGTATTTAATATCTTGGAGTCTCGAGGTGTGTATATTGTAGATAAATCTAATGCGACATACATATAATTAAATGTCTATAATGTAACATGAGTATTATAAAAATTGTAAAATTGTATTTATATTTTATACATATACTGGTTTACTTGATAGGCAACCAGTTTGAAATTATCACCAATATAAGAGATGAAGCAAGTTCTTTTGAATTACCTAGTAGTTAAATCAATCAACGAGAATGTAATTGCGATTGAGATTGCAAGAAATAAGAGTATTCACTATGTAAATCATTTACGTATAAAAAACATATGTAGATACCTATTTTTTGTTTTACATTATGCTGACCCCAAAAGAGTGATAGGCTACCAACTTTGTTGAAGGTATGTGAATTATCATGTACTTAAACGGAATGGAAGTTAGAAATTTTTATGAAAAAAATATGTGTAAATATTTAGCGGTAGCGATAACGGTTTTGCAATTGTTCTAAGTCTTGGCATAAATAAACTTGAAATTAAAATAACTACATATCTATACATGACTTACCTACCAAAAATTAAAAGGATTATTACTTAACGATTTAAAAAATTGGGTTAATAAGAGGGATAACTAATACATTGTAATTAAAAAAGGTAAATATATAGTTGTCTTTAATGTGTAAAATAATTATAAAAAATATATTTTCAATAAATCTTATGATATTTTGTAATCTTTTTCTACTAAAATGAAGTAAATATAGCTGGCTTGTTTATATGCATATTTATTATTAAATCTTTCTAGAAAATTTAAATAAATTTAAAAAATTTTCATAAAAACTGTATTAAATAAGGTCAAACATGTTTATTGCTGCCAAAAAAGGCTTCTTTGTCAATGGTGATGTGAATAACAAGAATAAAAGATATTTCTTTGAAAGATTTTTTTTTTTAATTTTGTCCGTGGGGCGTATTCATATTTCTGGTAACGAAGTACATTGTTTGGCTTTATTTTATAAGATTTTTAGAAAAAAAAAAAAGATTTTATTTGAAATGATGTACTTAAATGTATAGGTTCAAATTCATTTGCGGAAAAATTTATCGTCGGATTTTTTTTTAGAATTGGAAAAAAAAATGGAGAAATTCGTAAATAATTAACTTTTGTTAAAATCTAGGTTAAAAAATGTTCTGGTCACTATATTTGTCAACATAAATAATATATGTACTATTTTATAAAAAAAATACCTTTGGAAATTATTTTAACAAAATAATCATCGCATTTTATTCAGCCAAAATTAATAAATATGTTCTCTCAAAAATGTGTGTTATATTTTCGTATTAAAATAAATTCAGCATTAAAAAACGTAACTACTAAAAGTTGTTATATTCTCATTTTTTTTTAATGCCTTTAGTGTTTCAAAATAAGAAATATTATTCTTCTGATCAAATTATCAAGAACTTTGTTATGGGAAAAGAACCCAACTCCATTTATAATATTGATAAATATATACCTACTCCAATTAAAAAAAAAACATATGCCAAGCCCAAAAACAAAAGTACCACAAAAAAGAAATTTTTTAAAATCTTTATATTGATTTTACTTTGATAAGGAAATTTAAATTCAGTCAAAATAAATTACATAATATTAATTATTAATTTGACCAGTAATGCTTATATTTTTTGAAAACCTATCTCGATAACATTCGATTTTTCAAATTCGCGAACTAGCTTTAAACTAAATTTAATGGTAACAAATGCACAATATATTTTTTTTTTTTTTGAACTTAGGGAAAAATTCTAACGTGATGGAGCATTTCTTCTTAATTATCTAGAAAAAGATCAGCGTCTTTTCTTTTTAAGTTATAAAAAAATTAAGATTTTGTTTTAATTAGTATCTTTTCAAGTGTTTTTATTTGGAGTTTCCTTACTATTTCCATTTTTTCCAATTTTTTCTTTCCAATTTTTTTTTGGAATTGTTATACGTCTAGGTAAATAAACCATTTAAAAAAAAAGGTATCATAATATGAACTTTTGCCTCCCTTATACCTGAAAGATTCTGCCGGACACTTCGCTGGCGAGCAATCTTCATCTGATCCATCGCTACAATCCTTTCTGCCGTCACAGACGAAGAACCAACTGATGCAGGTTCCTGTACTGCGACACTGAAAAAATATACATCTATTATAAAAATCTGCACCGAAATAATTTTCTTATCGCAATTATGAATCTTAATTTTGTTAGTAGTTTTAGATCTACATCCTACAAGAACACGTCATCAGGTTGATTTAGTCTTATCCGTTGCAACCTAATTCTCAATGAACCAATTCAAACACATTTGGCCTAATAATTCAATCGGCATTGTATCCGTCAGCGTCAATATGATATCGTAAACAACAACATAAATCATAGTTGCGAAATATAGTGCAAATTATTGGTTAATACGTTCAAAATTAACATCCACGAATTTTTGTTCGGAAGGGTCAACCCCCACATGACGGAAAAGTATGCGGAATGTATATATTAGAAATATAAACTAGTGCTTTGTTTTGGTATTATTATCTCATTAATATCTAGTGCTTACTGACACAGCACGACAATTCTATAATCTTGACACAGTATATTGTAGCATTCTTTCTACATAAGGAATTAAATAACGATGTGACATATTTACCTGGAAAGTTCCAGGAATACATCCACGATTTCTGGCCGAACAAGCTTGGGTGTCATTGGTCTTGATCATGCAATCACAAACACCCTCAACGCATTTAGAGGAAGGATCTGCTATTCTGCACTGTAAATCGGTCACGCAGGGGAGTCCCAAACTCACGGCACCATCACCGTGGTCCACGCGAGTTCTGATGCCTGTCGTAGTGGGAGGTACAGCTGAAATAGAAGAAAATTTGCAACTGACGGTTTGGTTGACTTTTGGAATAAATCAGAAGTAGTACCACCACCACCATTTAACTCATTCTTATAGCTGCAGTGTTAATTATAAGGTCTGTTCCAACAAGAGTCAGGGATTGGTTCCGAATCGTTCGAAATGTTTGGCCAGTTATGTTCTAAATGTGTCCTCAGTGAATATATCGCAAGAATTAGTTGGATGCACATTTCGAACGGCTCGGAACCAATTCCTGACTCCTGTTGGAACAGACCTATATTGTCCAAGCAATCAGTGTAAAATATGTTCTTTGGTTTTTACAAATTGGTAGAAAATTAGCATCGACAAGTGATACGTACTTGAAGTGGAAGTGGGGATGATAATGTCAAGAGATGCTGTTGAAGAAGGCTCCATCACTGTCGTTCTGCTAGATACAGCAATCCTTGTAGTGACGTCTAGAGGCGTAGCTGTCACATCTTGGACCATTGGCAACTCAGTAGTGGTGGTGGTAGTTGGGTTAGAAGGTCTCTGTAAATCGGTAAATGCAAGTGTTAATTAAAGTTTTATAAATTTTTTCTAAATTTTTCAAATGTCTGCATAATAAAGTGAAGTTTAATGATATGTAGCTAATCTTTTTGTCACAACACATATCAAAGCTTTTATAAAATTGTGACTAACGTATTTCAAATATTGTGTTTGTTTATACGTAAAAAAACTAGGGGAAGTTCTTAATACCTTTGTTGTAATTAATCGAAGATTCAGAATAAACAATACAGTCCAGTGAATGACCATTTTTCCGTATAATTTTGTCAAACAGCACCAATTTTATAAAAACTTCAAAGTTGACCTTGTACCGGGGGCTGCTTTTACCCTGGGGGTGGATGCCACCCCTTATCGGGGGTGGAAAATGTTTCATTGAAAATAACTCCGGGAATGGATATATTGACTAATTCTAAGCAACTTTTGTTCTATAAAATTTTTTCTGAAAGTCAATACTTTTCGACTATTCGCGAGTGAGTGTAAATTTTTTAACCAAAAAAAAAAACACTTTTTCATACGGTTTTTCGCGAATAACTCAAAAAGTAAGTATTTTATCAAAAAAATTATTCTTATAAAAAATGTAGCTTATAAAAAAAACAAAAAGAATGGTGTTTTTATGCTGTCTAGACCAAATACAAGCGGAGTAATAGCTTGTGGAATGTTGGTTCTTATTCTTCGTCAAACGCCAAAATTGAAAGATTGAACGTGAAATAACCAAAAACCAATGCATTTTTCAGGAAATACTCATAGTACCTTTTTTAAAGTGCTTGAAAAAACCTTTATTTTTATTTTTTATAGAAGTCCCTAGCATCAAACCTAAGCGAGTTATGACGAAAATAAAGTTGATTCGCATTTTTTTCGGCGACAAAAAACATGAAAAACACCCCCTAATTACCACCCCAATTGAAAATAATCGTCACCACGTTACAATTTACTTTATTTATGTACTTGTAATATTCTCTAAAAGTTTGACCGATTTAAAGTGCTTAGTTTTGAAAAAAGTTCAGCTTGAAGTGAAAAGAGAATTTTTGTATTTTTGGAAAAAATTGTCTTTTCTTCAAAATAACTCAAAAATGAAAATGAAAATTTTGTTATAGTACAAAATTGTAGGTTTTGCTTTTTGAAAATTTTGTTTCTTTTCCCTTTCAGCTCAAACCCTTATAAAAATAAGGGCTGAAAGAAAATTGATCTTATAGCCCTTGAACAACACTTGAATAATACCTAATTTTTTTTAAATTAAAGAATTTTCAAAATCAAATTTCTAAAAATCTAAAGCCTTTGAATACTTGAAAATTTCACCACAAAAAGAAGAGATCTCAAGCTTTAAAATGCTTTTTGAAACATTCAAATCGGACGATTAGGTGAGCCGTGGTGATTGTTTAAACATTTTCGCAATTTTCACGCTTATAAACAATTGCAATAATTTAATGTTTTTTCAAATTTTTTTTTATTTTAAAATATGGTTTGAAAAGTACTCGGAAAGGCGAGTATTTAAAAAAAACCTGATGATCCGCCCATTATTTTCGGAGTTTTAGCCCGTTAAAGTTAACCCTTATTTACAGCAAAACTATAAGGGCTGTTTTTTGAACCAATAGGTTTGTTATTCCGAGTACTTTCCAGATATAAATTTTCAAAATCCAAGAAAAAAATGATTTTTTTTGTTATTTTTTTATACTTTTTTGTAATAACAGTTTTTTTTTATTTGCATAGAAAAATTATCATTTCTGATGTTATTTAGAAGCAGTTAAAGCAAAAATCTCCGATCATATGCGTTTTACCCAAGTACACCCTTTGTAAGACAGATACCGCCTGGACTAGAGAGTGAAGAGAATTTTTGATTATTTATATGTTATTTGCAATAAAAAAAATTAAAACAGTAAAGAAATCTTAATTTAATATCACTATATCATTAAATTATTCCAACTTGCTGAATAATATTTTTCAACATTATTTTTTAATGATTACTGTCATAGAGGGTGGTTTTTAGGGATCGACAATTTTCAATTCATCATAATTACTTGTTTAAAGATGATTCCAACCTATTACACGCTCGAATCTACATTTCTATAATTATTTTCGAATAGGTAGTTTTCACCCCTAAAAAATAAAAAGCAACCCTCGGCACGGGGTCAAATTTGAAGTGGAGGGTAAGTAGAACCTAAATCCAAATTTTGTTGCAAATCGGTGCTGTTTGGGAAAAATATACAGTAGCGCCGTAATTTACCTTCAATGACTGGACTTCTGAAATACAGTTCTATTTATTGACGAGTCATGTTTTGCCAAAAATGGAATAATAAGTACACGATAGTTACAAATGGAGTGACAATGATCCAAAGGCAATAATTGTGTACCATTTAGATCATCAGTTTGGCCAGGTCTATCTGAAGATGTGTCTTTGAATACTAGAAGAGACCTATGATTTAGACACGACGGTGCACCACCACATTATATTCAAACCATGTAACCAGTTTGCTGAGCGATAGATTAGATAGGGGAGAAATGGAGCTCGTGAAAGGCAAAGTTTGTTGCATCAATCGAAACTCACCAGGAATTAAGGACACGAACTTTTATGACAAATCTTGTTCGACAAGATACTGGAGTTTTGTTAAGGGTGTAGAAAAAGTCAAGCAATTTTAGGTACTACTACGACTACGAAGTAGTCAGCCACACAGAATATAGTGCCCAAGATCGTTATCCAAGTTGTCATAACCTTTTAAGAAGGAATCGTTATTGAAATGAATTCAGGCGCCAATAACGTTGCCAACTTAGGTATAGGACTAGCGGTGGCTGTTGTCGTTTCAGCCACCCAGTGTCGGGAGACTCGAAAGATTGGTGAAAAAGATGATTGCCACGCCACGCCGGCCTACAGTCTATAAAGGACTCATTTGCACGACGGCCGATCCGCGTCGCGACAGCGTTGGCGTCACTACTATTTTTCCAAGAAAAACTCACCCCCTCCAGTTTTTTTTAAGTATAAACCTGTGTATGTATATACTTAACCATTTTCATCGTCGTTCTAACCCCCTTAGAGGTCGACTTCACCAGAATCGGCGTATAGGGAGTTACATTGTCCACGATCACATTGGACTCGATTTCGGGACCATCATCAGACGTAGCCTTGGTTGGTGGTGGAGATGAGGAGGTGACTGTGGTGGTAGTAGTGGTGGTGGCTTTGGTTTGGAAGGCCGAACGGACGCAGGAATCACCCACCTGTCTGAAGGGTGAGTTACACTGACACCGACCAAATAGGTTTGGGATCAGGAAGTCGCAGTGGCTGTCCGCCGTCCATAGCCTGCAGTGGGCGTTGCTGTAGCAAACGTTGCCCGGCCTCGCGGCTACAGAAACAGAAAATAATTAGCTTAGTGTATAAAGGAGGTAGGTTTTAAATTTAAGGGGTATTTGATGCGAAAATAATGTTGCATAAAAATCACTCTAGTAAGTTTTATAATAGCAGAGATATTTATATTTGAGAATTTAATGAGATTTTTGTACTTTGAGTGTATCAAATTGATCTGATTTTATACGTGATTGAAGTTTCAGTAACGTAATATTTGAATGACTAATACTATTACTTGATGGATACAATTTCACAGGCGATTTCGTACCACTCACATAGACGCTCTAATGAATGCCTTTATTCAATTTGCTGGAAAACATGAAAAATTGAAGTAAAATAATGCCACACGTATGAGCAAACTATACCTTCAGTAAACACGCATCCATTGTTCTTTTGACGGTAAAACTAATTATTCAAAATAAACATGTAATATTGCAATAAAAAACCACGATCACTGTATATTCTCGTCTGTAGAACAAAAAAACGCAGCTGAATATACAATTCTGTGAATAATCCATGAATAAATTTGTAATTTAATTGAATGGACATCTACGCAAGCTAGTTCTTCGCGATAAGTGACGATGGCGTTTTGAAATACCAAAGAGGAACTAATATACATGCATAATGCAAATGGTAACGTCTAGAAATTTGTCTAGAATTACAGAACATTCACCTGCTTCGAGACAACAAACTATCATTCATGAATTAAAGTCAAATTCAGTCTTTAAAATCTATCAAGAAACTGTTTAAAGAAAACATTTTAGGCGATTAAGCTGTAAATTTTCTTCTTGAAATTAAAGTTCTTAGAAATATACATTTTAGATTTCTAGATGAGAACCCCTCGTGATTACTATTTATAAAAGTTCAGCGTTGATTTCGTAAGACATTCCAGGATATTAATTAAATTAATATTATTTGTCAAGCGTATGAGAATAATGAACAGCCAGCTTCTTCAATTTACAGTTAAATACCTGGCATATATATAGTTTATACAATGGAGATTCGTTGCAACTAATGATCGATCATCTTGTATTATCTAGAAGACCTACTTAAGATAACGAAGATACAGCCACAATTTTGTAATAAGTTATTAGTCATTATTAATGACGAGGGAAGGCAGTTTTAAAATAATTTTCCTATACCACTAGAGAATGCATTATACAGTGTGATGGAACAAAATTTATATTTTTTTCCTAGTTCAGATCTTCAAAAATCGCTGAAACAGGTCAATTAGTAAATTGAGCCATCTTTGATAGACCTATAACATTACTGACATTTTTTTTAATAGGACGCTAATATTTTATGGTATAAATAGATAGCCCTTCTAAAGACGAATTCAGGGATATAAGGTTACATGGACTTTTTGTTATAGTTGTCAAAAAATTGAGGAATTAAATGAAAACAATAATTTAGTACTACTTTTTATGCAGAAAAGTGACAATTTCTATTTACTAAGTGAACTGTTTCAGCGATTTTTTTAATTTCAACTGAAAACAAAAAATGTTCCATCATTTTGAGACATAGGTACTGTATAACTATTTGAAAATTATGTCACTTTTGATAAGGTCTGCAAGTGTTAAATAAATGTTAATGTTAGAAAACAGTATAAGTAACTAATATTTACTTTTATTTAAACCAAAGGCGTTTTTAATACAGATATTAAATCATGTTTAAATAATATGTTGTCCCACATTTAACACTAAAAAAAAAGCTCTTTCTCCATTCTCGAAACTTATTAAAAGTACCGTAAAAAATTGTACACAGTTAAAGTCCCAAATATTGTTCATCCAAATAATATTTAAGTTGAGATAGCGTAGACCGTTAGGATGCCATGAAACGTACACTCTTGTTAAACAAATGATAGCTGAGAACATTTTAACATACAATGTCTATTCTCTTATCTTTTGTACGGACGTAAATATCTTGTAACATACGTAACTTATAGTAGACGAGTATTTTATTTGAAAAGTTTCTTTTCTGAATACTGTTTAGCAAAATCATCGGTGGAAAAAATGATTATTAGCGACCAATTCAGTTTTCAAATATTCTTGATGTTTTGGATACTCAAAGAATAAAGCCTACTTTCTGTTTGCATACAATCCATCAATAACGCGTGGTAAAAAAATGGCAAGCCCAATTGCTTGTATGTCCTATATGCCACATGCTAAGATAAACATACTAGAAAATAAAGGTCAGGAATTAGACTGCAATAAAAACCAGTTACATTCCGAATATGAGGCTGATATAATGTTTCATCAATGTATGTCGCCAGTTATTACGGTATATCTTTTATGTTAATATTTAAGATATTGTTGACAGATTTCTACATTACGTTAAGTATTTTTTATAAATATAAAACGAGGTTTTTTCATAATATTAATGACTAAAAGTGATAAGTGTACAAGCCTTTTAAACGCAGTACTTTGTATAATTTTATAAATGTAGGTTAACATTTAAATTTATCTTACGAATGCGTGGATATAAACATTAATGCGTTTTTTTCTTGCATTAAAACAGATATATTCAAATGAGCATAAAATATATATCATTTATGGTCTATTTCTTTTTGTTGTAATTTCTTAAACGTTTAACTTTAAATATTCAGTTTAATTCAATTTAATTTGTATGTATACTTATCTATTCGAATTAAAGTTTTGTTAAAAAAATCACTAAATTATATTTCAATTTAAAACGTAACTTCTTGCCTTTTGTAAAGAAACAAGTTTTCTATTTCTTACCTTGATGACAAAACAGTCGTAGTCTTTATTTAAATTATCATTACAAACAATAGATTTTTTTACTGTTGTTAAATAGTCAGAAGATTATTCTTACAATGACTCAATCGCCACTGTATATAAGTCAGTTCATTAATAACATCCTTGAGCAAAAAGTATGAAACACTTTCAATATTTTCTTGGCAAACAATTCATGGACGATTTTATTCAAAAGTTATGCATAACAAATATGAGAATGTTGATATAACAATGAACTCCAGATTGTTTTTCAAAATAGACACAGTAATCATCCTTAATGCGTCGACTAAAAGAATATTATTAGAATAAATTATCCTCCTGGTGATTCATCGAATTGCTTGTAACCTAAAAATATCCTTACTCAGCGTAGAAGCGTAAAAAATAGTCGAAATACTTTTTCTTTGATTCATCGATGATCGTTCACCAGAATTATGAATGAGTAACTGTCCGGTCTTAGTTAAAATTTATACTCACGTCCCAGACAAGTGTGTTTCCGGAACTGCAGGAAGCCATCCACACAGCGACAAGCTCCGTCCAGACAACTACTGTTGGCTACTTTGAGCGAGCACTGCTCGGGCACGACGCAGTCGTATCCAAGAAGAGTCGCTGAAAAATAATAAAATATTTGTTAAGAATAATTATAAAGACGCAAAGAATACATTCAAATTACAAATATCCTGATACCATTCTGTTTTCGTTCCGCCAGAAACAGAAAGAAGAAAGAATAAAGAAGAAGAAAGGAGAAAGAAGAAAGAAGAAAGAAGAAAGAAGAAAGAAGAAAGAAGAAAGACGAAAGAAGAAAAAAGAAAGAAGAAAGAAGAAAGAAGAAAGGAGAAAGGAGAAAGTAGAAAGAAGAAAGAAGAAAGGAGAAAGACGAAAGACGAAAGAAGAAAGAAGAAAGAAGAGAGAAGAGAGAAGAGAGAAGAAAGAAGAAAGAAGAAAGAAGAAAGAAGAAAGAAGAAAGAAGAAAGAAGAAAGAAGAAAGAAGAAAGAAGAAAGAAGAAAGAAGAAAGTAGAAAGAAGAAGAAAGAGGAAAGAAGAAGAAAGAGGAAAGAAGAAGAAAGAAAATAGAAGATACATCCTATGTAGCCACCTTTAGATATTTTCTTAAACGAATTATTGAAAGTAGTCCTCGTCTAGATTATTTCCTGCACTATTAAAACGAATATAAATATATATTATCTTAGGCATCTCTATAAGCTATCTGTACACAAAAAATGTCATCTTATATCGGAACATATCTCGGAACGATCTTAAGTTAGAATAGGTTCAAAATTATATACAATTATCTCATTATCAAGCAGTTTGCTATGTAATGTATCTCTTAAAATATAAAAGCTATTTAAGGAGTTTCTCTCTATCTATCTATTGCCGATTTATGGAATTTGGAGAGAATGTCTATGAACATATTAAAAAAAATGTAACTTGAAGCCATGAAGCAATTCTATCAGTAAATCAACAAACAATAACATTAAAGCCCATTTCACACGACGCGATATTTTGTCGTATATAATAAAAAAAACATCTATTTTGTGTATCGTGAATATTTTTAGTATTAGTTCCTGTAATTCTACGCATTTAAGCTGATTTGGTGGGGTATTTATTTTCAAAGTTCACGAATAAAAACTGTTTTTAACTCAAATAACGTACTGATGTAAGTAAAACGCATAAAAAATATTCATACTTGTCTTCGAATATTTTATAGATATTTCTGCTCAAGCAGAAAGAAGAATTTATTTGTTAATTTTCTGTACAGGGCGTTTTTTTTTCACTATGAATAGTGAAAAATATGGTGGTAATAAGGTGGTACTTGCACAAATTGTAAAGGGTGAATCTTCGACTAATTTTAAGATAAAAAAAGTTCATATAAACATGGGTCCGCAACGGGTGGTTCCTGAGAAACAGGGCGTCCAAAAAAAAATTGTTTCAGCAATTATTGTAAATGTTATTAACTTATTTGTAGAAGTAGTTTAGTCTTAGTCACATCTCAATACAAGACACACTTTTTCACTTATTTTTCAAAAACTTTTAATGGAATTTTGTAAAACCGGACTTCAATTTAGCGAGTTACAAAAAAATCATTTTTTATTTTTTTGGCTCGAAAACGGCCGCAGATACGAAAACATTGCAAGTGACAAAAAAGTTTCTAAATTGAACAGGAAATTAAATTCTTAATCCAGAAAGGACCAGTTGCATACCGGAAGAAAGTTTGGGGGAACTGGAAAGAGGCCCGACACCAGAAAAAGTTTCACCCTCTAAATCGTGACGACTATTAGGCAGGGTTAATGATGCAAGTAATCTAACTTAGCCTACGTTCCATATTTTAACTACATATCTCAAAAATTGTTAGAGATACAAAGAAAAAAACAGAAAAATTATTGAAACTTTACCACGGTATAGGGTGTACCATGGTAACGTATGATTTACGGGTATATATTTATAGGAACTTTTTTACTTAAAATCATACTCAGATTCGCGTCCCTGAATAAAGACACCCTGTATATAACGTTTAATTATAAAGAAAAGTTTTAATATTTTAACTAAAGATGTATTACTCTCTTTAGTTCTGTGTTACGTAATTACTTTATTTTTTACACTAATAATTTCGTATTGGTAAATTTTATGTAGACGAGATAGCAACCAAAGCTATTATAGGTTAGTTAGACAAATATTATATGTGAACTAAAAAATATCGAATTTATTTCCTCAGACGGTTTTAGACAATTAGATCTCTAGTAAACATTTTTTAGTTTAATGTGTGTTTCTTGGGAAGTTACAAACAAAAAAACTTTAGAAAGAGCCACAAAATCGTGGCTCAAGACAGAAACCCTGAAATAAAAACTTTCTTTTAGTTCATGCAACTATTTTATCCTAACGTTAATTAAAATCAATTCGAAGACAGCCTCCAGATAGCTGTACCTCAAGAAACAACCGTAGGTAAATAGTTTTAACTGGGTTTAATAACAAAAGAAAAATGTCTTCTTGTTAATGGAATAATTATAAGTTTCAGAGCTATCCCATTGCTAATTTTCCTAGATTCCCACGTTATCTTGTCCCGAGAGTCATGAGATTTATAATTATTTCCTCTTTCGCTGCTGCTCTTTCCAATGTCTCTGCTTAATGAAAAATAATGCCCATGGGTACATCCATGTCTATTATTAATTACTTAAGATAAAAAACAGTAAACACAACTTTGTGTGTGTAATTAAATCATGCTCATCTGGTTAGAGTTCTTCGAGAACACCCATTTAAATCGAGACGTACCATCAAAATTAGAAGCAAATAACTTCTAAGTAGGTATTAGACTTTATTTTTGTTAATTACTATCAATCAGAGGAAGAAACCTTTTGTTGCTGTTACTGATCATCAAAATTATGACATCAAATATCACTTACATTGCAAACACGTTGTTTGATTGACTCTTGCGTAAAACGGTTGACACAAGCAGCGACCCCTGTGACATATAGACCCGGAGATGTCCTCTTTACATTCCCAGTCGCTGTTGCACTCATCTCCGAGTAAGTGGGCTGTTGCAGATTGTCTATACACCTGGAAGTGAAGAAAAGAACCAGTTATTGTTAGTAGTAGTGTACAATACAAGCTAAAACATGCATTTATGCTGCAAAATATAAACAATTTTCTAAAAGAAGTTTGGAATTTTCATACATTTCAGTAAGATGTATGCTTCCAAAAGAATGTAAAATATCTCTAAACATTGTAATGTAATCACGCGTCCAGTCAATCAAGAGATTGCCTTTACACGGTTTATCTGGTTGAAATAATCTTTATAGAGGCAGTGGAGCAAGTTGTTTGCACAACTTATTTCCTCCGGTGACACTTCCATTATTACGTCTTAAAAGTATATCATCTTCAGGCGAAACAGGATTGATTTTAACGGTAAATAGGATTATTATCCGAACACACCCTTGAGCGGTAACGATATGCTTTTGATTTCGATAAATTTCTTGAATTGGCACATATTTGAAACCATTTGCAACGGATGAAACTCTCTTGAATAGTAAATATGCTTGAAACTTTTGTTTTCTAAAATTTTTTATTATACAGGGCGATTCACTTTTTATGATTAGGACTTTAACCATCATAGATCTCGTCAAAATAATGTAATTTTAAATTATACACTTTTTCTTCCAAAGGCTTCCTTTTAGACAAGTTTTTGAAAAAAAATTTTTTTTTTGGTTTTTATTAATTTTTTTCTTAAACTACAGAAAAGCCATTTGTTTTATATTTAGTAATAATTGTGCGAATGAAAAGCTCTATCGATTTTACAAATTATTGTGAAAATAGATCAATCATAGGCGTCTTCGAAGGGCTATAATAACCCCTATTTTTAATTTAATTTGTACGCCACTGAAAATGTTTCAAAATGAATATATTTTTTACATTGCGGTTTATTCTACAGCAAAAAGGTCTCTTATTATTTTTAAACAAAATGCTTGTTTTTTGAGAAAATGGCTTCTTATGGATTCATTACATGTGAAATGGTTACGTTTTTCAAACAAATACACAATAAAATATTTAATATTGAGAAACAAACAGAAATAAAAATTAACAAAAGAGAATAAAAGAAAAAGTATCACAACAAATGTTCGAAATGTTGTCCTCGAGCCTCAATGCATTTCTCACATCGTCTAAATAAGCTTTGAACTGCTCTCCAATCATATTGAGGTTGTGTTTAAGAGTTTCACAATTATTTTCAATTCTTCTTCACAACATTTCAAGAGCACAGACTGGTGATCTGTACTGTCCATTCTTTCTTTAATAAATCCCCAAACGAAATCCATGGGATTTAGATCTGGCGCTCGTGGCGGCCAAGCAATGGGACCGGTACCACGTTCTGTATGATTCATTTCCAAGATACGCTCGATCCAACGACGTAGATAGTGTTCTCCGAGCCACTGCCTAATTTGAGGACCATAATGAGCCGGAGCGCCATCTATCTGAATCCAAATATTTCTCCATAGAAGTAATGGTAAGTTGTGGAGTAAATATTTAAATCTTCTATGTTTGAAAAACGTAAAATAGGTGTTATCAGAACCCCTTACGAACGCCTATGATTGATCTATTTTCACAATAATTTGTAAAATCGATAGAGCGTTTCATTCGTACACTTCATACTAAATATAAAACAAATGGCTTCCATAGTTTAAGAAAAAATAAATAAAAACCAACAAAAACAAATGTTTCTTCAAGAGCTTATATCTCTTTCTAAAAATAAAAAGTGAATCACCCTGTATATGAAGGTCAATGTATTCAAAATTTTTTTTGAGAAATTTGTTTCATTTCTTTAATTTTTTTTTATCATTTTTAATATGTATCTTTGCGATAAAAACATTTCCAATTTAAAAAAATGAATAAAAAATGCAATATTTATCCTTTAATTATTGATTTTTAGCAAAAGTGACAATTTCAATCATTTGGATCGCAGTGAAACAAATATTACAGCGGATTGAATTCTTGAGGGTTTCTTTGGGATATTTTGAAATGAAAATATCCTTAGTCTAATCACTATTTCTAAAATTGTCTCAAGTTTTAGCGAAAATCCTTAAATATGCTATTTTTTACTTTTTTGAATCAAGTTTCAGAAAAATTTGTTTTAAGAAATCGGTTAGAAAATTTTATAGAGAATACTTCGAAGTTTTCAAAACCCTGCTTAGATTTTCTGTACGATCATTTGTTACCAAGAAATTTATTATAGAAGCCAAAAAGATCATTTTTGTTTTGAACGATGATAACTCATCGTACAAAGCTCTTGAACAACTTAAATTAAAGAGGATGAATCAAACTAAAAGAGCTGACAGATGAGATTGCCAAAAAATCTATTGAAGCCCGTCCATTTTTTGAAAAGGAAGCAAAAATGTTGAGAATTTTTTTTCGTTGATCTTATGAAAATTGAAACCTCAAAATCTTCAATTAGCTTTTTTTATTGCTCTATGACGATCTTTGGCCAAGTTAGAGCCTTTTGAAAAATCACCTTTTGTATCATTTAATATTTGTGACTAGGTATATTGTATATTAATAAAATGCCTTATAAATCGAATTATAATGGGTAACAAAACGTAATAATGTTTGCGATTAGTTGCGAATGATAATTAATTTTCCATTTCAATTTAAAATTAAAAATCAATTTTTGAACTACCAGCTTAATAATTAAACACACAGCCCTTGCAAACCCAAATAAATTAGCCCCAATGCATGGCGTTTAACGAATTGAGTGGGCCAGTGACAATAAAAATGCACTTGAAATACTCGAGACACATTGTTGAAAGCGGTCAGCGACTCGGGACCCTTGCTAACGTTACACTAGAAGACACCGCTTAGAAATGATAAATATTGGAGAAACATCATTCACCGGCCAGCAGATCAAAGAAACCCGTGACTTGCAAGACTTGTTGACTCGATGTGCTACTGAAGCAAACGGCAATACCGGCACTTCCTTTTATAGGGATCCTACGATTCACCTCATGCTCTCGCGGAGTTGCACTTCCTGACGATGAAAACCAGGAAATGAAACGCCTGGAATTTATTGATTTGTTAATTTAATAGTATATTAAACAACAGGTTTCGAAAAGGGAAGCTTTGCTAAACGAATATAGCTTTCGAGTAAAGCTATATGAGTTTAGTAAAACTGCTTTTCTTACGTGATTTGTTTATACTTTTTTTTCGTATTTTGTGTTAGTAGGTAATTATAAGCAAATAGTGATAGATGTAAAAGAATTGCAATGATAGAAATAAAAAAAAAAGTCTTCTTCATTCTTCTACTGAAAATTTTTGTTTCAGTATCGTGAATGGTGTCAGCGGATATTAATTTAAAGTTAACATTCCTGTTTGCCACATACTGCTTCATAACAGGCCAAACTGATTCAATGGGGTTTAAATCTGGGCGGTACGGTGGTAGCCGTAAAGGATCATGTTCGTGATGATTTAAAATTGTATCTAAGTACCACAATGTTACACATGTTGTCGGTTTGTTTATTTTAATTAAACTGTATAAATCGGGCTTCAATACGTCATCTGTATCAGATATGCTTCGGTGTGTTTGCTACTGTTGTTTCCGTTTAACGTGAACACATCTTAGAACACTTTTCTTTTTGTGGTATGGAGCATTGTCAATCTCTAGCACAATTTTTAGCTCTAAATTGGGTACAAACTTCTCCAATAACGACTTTTTATAATTTTCAAAGTTCATATCATTATGACAGTCACCAGTCACCACGTCTTTGAACGTAAGTATGCATTGGGCACGAATCCATTTTCATATTCAGCATTCAACATAAGTCTTTGATCTTTCCACTTTTATACGTCCATGAAAATAATTGAGCCGTTTTTTTTCTATAACGCTTCATGCTTCTTAAGAAATGCTGCAGGTAGATTTCGGGTTTCTCCATAAAAAATTTTCGGTTGTTTCTCGTTTTGACCAACCGGAATCCCATTCTCTTGAAAAGTCTTTTGGTGCTTTCTAGAGAACTTGGGCATATCGAAATCTTCTAAGTCGATCTTGGGAGCTGATTTTGGCTGTTTCTTATTCGGTGTTAAAAAACTTGACTGATGTATTGACTACTTCTCTTGTTTATTTGGCCCGTAAGAGCAACTCGTTCTTGTTAAGTTCCTTGATAGCCTGATTTGCGTCAGAAGCCGTTTTGGAAATATTAATACAGTTCCAGTACTCGATCTTATTTACTGGAACGTAGATTTACAAACATACATTTGAGGGCGGAGCTATCTCAGAGGCAAACTTATTTCTATCGGTCTCTAAATGCGTTTACCGAAGTGTCATATTATTTAAGCCACATCTAAACAGTGGTAAACCCTTGAAGACAACAATTTATTGTTTATGTAGTAAAATAAATGCCATTTGCCATTGAATTTCCAAAATAGCTTTCATCGACGTTGCATAAACGGTCTGTTTGTAGCAGAAAGATTTGTCAGTCTCAGTTTCATGTTCTCCGTTGAGAACTGTACCGTCCGCTAATATATAGCCCTGTAGCAGATCCTTATTTGAGGTTTATTACCTCTTGCTTCGGGTTTATTGTCTCAAATTTGCCGTAATAAGGCAAATGGCCGGTAACTGTTCCAACGAATTGATTATTATTCAGGGATCGAACTTGACCATCTCGAGACAAACATCTAAGCTCACGACGCGACGGCTTGGATCTTAGAAACATGCAATCGGTTCCCTATAAGAATCGCACAAGTTTCTGAAAAAAAGTTATAATAGATACTAAAGAAAATTGCCGTCAGGCACTCAGTATTTCCTCGACTATAATGTCCAATTAAAAGACAATCTGAAAGAGGACTGAGTTTGAGATAATTTATTTTTAAATGTATTTATGTTGAATTATTATTCTGCATTCATTTTCCAGACGTGTAAGTTTGTTTTTTCAATTCTTACAAACATAATGTTTTCATTTTTATTCTCTGTAAACTATTCTGTCTGCGTATACAGAAGATTATGTAATAGACAAGATTTATATCATCGTATACATGTGTATTCAAGGTAACAAGCAATTTTTGTACAATTGAGAATTTTA